TAAATCAGTTTAAATATAGAGCACATAAGAATATTCCATTAAATTTTCAATTCAATTCAATTTTATTTATATAGCGCCAAATCACAACAACACTCGCCTTGATTTGTGACCATTATATGGTCACTATTTTCTTTTACTTCATATTAGCTTATGATAACTCCTCTTTACAACCTGCATCCACAAACACTCTTAAATTTAATATCAGAGGCTGATTTTTAGATTTAAAAAAGAAAAATGAAGACAGAAACAGAAAGTCTACGATCTTATTTTATTAAGATCTTAATAAATTAAATAAAAGCGGATTTCTCGCCGGGTTTCTCTGTGAAACTGACTCCAACCAGGCAGCAGCTCTCTTTTCGCTTTAATTCCTTCGTTTCCGGTTAAAATCCTACGTTTAATCGCAGTTTCCGGTTGATAACAGAGAACAAGTAACAACACAAACATAAAAACGAACAACAGACAACTACCTACCTTCAAAACAAAAATTTAATCTGAAAATAAGTCCCAAATCCACTATTTGCGTCCATTCAACTGATGCACACCACAACAACGTCCGGGTCTTTGGGGGGGTCATACTTCCGCTACATTTCCACAATAAGACGCTATAATTCAAAGTAAAAGCATTACACTATACCAGCTATCACGACGAATGGTCAAAAACAACGAAATATATGTTTTTACATATATTTTATCTAAATATATGTTTTTACATATATTTTGACATGCATTTACAAACATTTTGACATGAACCTTCTTCTTCATGAAGTTGATAAAATAAATGTTTAAAAGGGGGCTCGAGAACCAACACCTGGTCTATAGATCAATAAATCATCGAGTCTCAGTGACGACTTTCTCGTTTTCTACTTTTAAAAAACTGACATAAAATGACACTCTCTCTTAAGTCTTTATTGACACACAGCTGAATCACAACCTCTCTCTTTCTGCAGCAGAAAAAAAACAAAAAGCAACAACGAGAGCAGAACAATTATTTGGTGTTTTTGCTGACTGCATGTTTTAATTTAATTAATTTAATCTTGAAATTATCTTTTGTTTCTGCTTAGCAGCAACAGATCCGGAGGAACAACAATGAGAAAGCAACATCATCAACAACAAAGACATGAATCTTTTACCTCTGACTCCAGAGGGCACCATAACACCACAGAGTTTGCAAGACTTAACATTGATTTGATTTCTTTTAACACTTTGATTCATCAAATGATATAATGTTGATTTACATGTGACTTGATGAGCAAGTGGCAGCCACTAAAAGTCCCTGCTAGACACCTTTAATATCTGCAAGAAAAGGAAGCCAAATTTACTGTCAGGTAAAAGGGAATAATTTTAATTTCATTCTCTATATTATATACTGCAACTCTTCAAAAGTCCTAAATAATGCTCTGGCTCTTTAAGGCCCTCCTCCATATGAAAGCTCACTTCTGTTTGATTTCCCAAAATCTGGAAGAGAGCTGAGGGGCAACACCTAGAGCCTGTGAGCTGTGATGTTGGAAACAGAAGATTCAGAGCAGTGTACATAATTTAACATTATTACTTTAAACTCTGGACAGGTTTAAATGAACATCTGAGATTGTAACATCAAATATATGACGATATATCATAGCAAATTATGAATCTATTATGTTTCTAAATGTAGCTTTTCAAGGCCCTCCTCTCTAAAAATCTGACTGGCCAACATCTCAAAGCCAGCACTGAAAGCCTATAAGCCATGATGCTGGAGACAGAGGATTCAGAGCAGTGTGATGTCTCAAAAGAAATACTTTTACATAAGTTTACTTCATTATTTTTAACTTTAGACAGGTTTAATATGAACATCTGACACTGTGACATTAAATACATGACAACAAATCATGAAAAGCATATTACATCTCATTTAAAGTCTTAGCATGATTTGGTTTTGAAAATAAACCACATTTATCTTATACTTATCTTATCTTATTCAGCCCATCAGAAATAACCTGTTTTAGCTCCTGGCCAACATTTCATTTACATATGTTCATCTCACTGTTTTACATTTTTATTACCAATAAATATGGGGGGGGGGGGAGACCCCAACAGTATTGGTTTAGTTTAAGTAACCAAAAGAGCATTTGGCTGTCAGTAGATGCTTACTAGAAGACATTAGCAAATATTTACCTATTACATTTTAAAAGTGGCCCCCAGTGCTCATTAGATTGCATCAACAACCAGCAGGTACATGTAACCATTTTATTTACAGGTATTTACTGGTTAGCTGCTAACTAAAACGGTTGCCACTAACTCAAATAACACCGTCACTCATATGTAGCTGCCAGTTGCTAACCAGTATCTGCTACTTACATGCAACAAAGGCCAGCAGTGATTACCTTTATCTACTAATAGCAGCCACTAGCAGACATTAACAGCCACTAGAAGTTACCATGTAGGAGTTGTCACTGTTATCTATAAGTAGTCACAGCTGCTAAATGAAATAGTAGCTACCAATAGCTGTGGTACAAGCAGCCAACTGGCCACTTCCTGTGTCCTAAAAGTCATAGAAACCAGTCCATCAACCCCAGTCAACCTATGGTTGCTAGGAAAAAAAGTGTGTATTTCCTGAATGGTTGGCAAGTGCTTGTTGGCTGTTAGGTCACAAAGTCTGTCATAAAGAAGGTGCTGCACCAGAAAACCTCCATAAGACTGTTTTGGTCGCTAACAGACTGCTGTGTTAGCCAAGAGTTTGCATACATAGTTCACGGTTTACCATCAGGTAAATGCTGTGTCTTACTGCTGGACCCAACGTGTATAAGAGGCTCCAACTTTTACTAGTAGGTGACCGGTCTCTGTTTCCAATTTCACTAGTGGGTTATGAACTCTTGATGAGTATTTGCAGATAAGTTGGCTTATTACCTGAAAACTGTGAGTTACTGCGGCAATCTGGTAACCACCAAAGCAACTTTTAGGAGGTGTTTTGTGCAGCACCCTCTTTGTGATTAATTTCACAAAGCAACTGCCAGAAACCACTCGCCAACTGGTTGAAGACTACATATTTTTGGGGTTGGGGTTGGGGATCTCTATCCCTATGTGATTGTAGCAACAAGCAGATACAAGTAACCATTCCTTTTGAAATGATATCTATACAAATAGTCATAAATAGTTACAAATAGTGTTTAAAATATATTTTTTTATCAACTGCATGATATGAGTAGCCATGAAAGCTTACAGTACTCTATGTACAAATAACCAGCAGCTGGTTACTATCAAATAATCTCACTGAACGGTTACCACCAGGTTACTAGTGTGTAGTGGATTATCACTGATTAATTTGGCGAATCACATCACATTTCAGAAAGAGTGTGTGGGACCAGGCGGCCATCCAGCCCCACCCATCCGAGTGTGACCAGGAGGCTGCATGAGTCCCTCGCTGCTGATTGGTCCATGGTGGAGCCCAGCGCAGGGTGAGTGGGAGGGGCTCAGCTCGCTGCATCCAACTGTCCACAGACAAGGGTACTGACTGAAAACACACACAGACAGTTCATTTAATCTGAAAAACCAGTACATTTACCATTTAAAGCTGTGGGATGGGTTTCACCTGGAGCTGTGAGGAGGAGGAGGCTGTGATGAAGGGGCGCTGCCACTCAAGGGAATGGAGGCAGAGGAGGGTGAGGAAGAAGATGAGGTGGGACGAGGGGAGGAGGTGCTCCAGCCATCAGATATCACCTGAACACCTTCAGAGAGACACACTGAGAGCACACAAAGAATCCAGAATTTAGAAACTGCTGTGTTCATTCAATATTGAGTAAAATATTGAATAAAAAACAAAAGACTTAAACAAAAGATAGCATTTTGAACACAAAACAAAAATCTGTAAAATGTACTTTTTTGCTAAATAAGAGTAAATATATACATATATATAAATACATATATACATATATATATATATGTATTTATATATACATACACACACGTGTGTGTGTGCATATTTCTATATTCATGTAGATGTCTGCAGGCAAAAGTTTGTATATAAATATTTAAAATTAGCATATAAGTAAATAAACAT